TTATGTGTCACGCAATGTAGTGTTTGATGAAGCATCATCTTGGTGGTCCCCAGAAGCAGTCCTACTTCCAGACTCAAAGGAGATGGAGGAGAGGTTGCTAGAGAGGTCTAGTGAAGAAGAGGTGAAAACAACAGAAGCTGAACAAGGAGAAAGTTCCGCGGGAGCTCAAACTCGCTCTCCTGAAAAAGGCAAGAGTCCTTGGAAGACTGGAGTTCACCAGCCAGTCACAGAAGAAGAACGACCTAGTCAACTGGATCATATTGTTGATCCTCAACATGGCCTCAGAAGATCGAAGAGGGCTAGAAAGCCAAATCCCAAATTTGCCAATGTAGCCATGATAGAAGATATTGGTGTAAGAGAACCAACATCTTACGAAGAAGCGGTAAAACATGGTGAATGGAGAAACGCTATGAAAGAAGAGATTCAAGCTCTCGAGAAAAATCAAACATGTGAACTCGTACCAAAGCCTAAAGATGTTAAGCCCATATCCTGCAAATGGGTTTACAAAGTGAAGACAAAGTCAGATGGATCAATTGAGCGTTTCAAGGCTCGATTGGTCGCTCGTGGATTTTCTCAACAATATGGGCTGGATTATGACGAGACGTTTAGTCCAGTTGCTAAGATCACAACTGTTCGTGTTCTCTTAGCACTTGCAGCCAGTAAGTCTTGGAGAATGTGGCAGCTAGATGTGAAGAATGCTTTCTTACATGGAGAGCTTGATCGAGAGATCTACATGGAGCAACCTAGAGGGTTTGAGAGCATAAACACAGACTATGTCTTTAAGCTCAAGAAAGCCCTATATGGTCTGAAGCAGGCACCTCGAGCTTGGTACGGTAAGATTGGAGAATTTCTACTCCAATGCGGATACTCTGTCACTCCGTCAGATTCAAGTTTGTTTGTCAAGGAGCAATATGGAAAATTAGCAATTGTGCTAGTTTATGTTGATGACTTGATCGTGACTGGAGATGACGAAGAAGAAATCAACCGAACTCGAACTAATCTATCCATACGGTTCCAAATGAAGGAACTTGGAGAGTTGAAGCACTTTCTTGGACTTGAAGTTGAGAAAAGAGAAGATGGCATATTTCTTAGTCAGCGGAGATATGCCGTAGTGTTGCTAGAGAAGTTCGGGCTACAAGAGTGCAAGCCTACGACAACACCGATGGAGGCTAACGTTATAAACTAAACTCACAAGAGGGAAAAGATTTAGAAGACGTGAAAATGTATAGACAACTTGTGGGTAGTTTAATCTACCTAACTCTGACTCGTCCCGACATTTCTTATGCAGTTGGAGTCGTTAGCCGTTTCATGCAGAATCCCAAGAAGGTTCACCTTGAGATCATCAAAAGATTTTTGAGATATGTCAAGGGAACCATTGATCATGGGATAATTTACAAGAAGGGAGTAGAGTGCAAACTTAAAGGTTATTGTGATGCTGATTATGCTGGAGACCTAGACACTCGTCGCTCGACAACTGGATATGTGTTCACACTCGGTTCAGGAGCAGTGTCGTGGTGCAGTAAAAGACAGCCGGCCGTTTCGTTGTCAATTACAGAGGCCGAATATAGAGCGGCAGCAATGGCATCACAAGAGTGCACCTGGCTAGTGCAACTTTTGAAGGACCTTCATCAAGAAGTTGATTACTCGGTTCCATTATATTGTGACAACTTATCTGCTATCAAGTTAGCAGAGAATCCTGTGTTTCATGCTAGAACAAAGCATGTTGAAGTTCATTATCATTTTCTCCGAGAGAAAGTGTTGAAGGAAGAGATAGAGATGAAAGCAGTGAAGACTGGAGATCAGATTGCAGATATTTTCACTAAAGCACTTCCGAGAGTCAAGTTTGAAGAGTTCAAAAGAGAACTTGGAATGATCAACAAGAAGAATGTTGGTGACGCTGAACTACGTGGCGAAGACACTACTCAAGCATGATATGAACACTACTCGGAGTAATGGTAAATTAAACTTTAAGGGGGAGTATTGAAGAATAAAGTTTAATAAACAAAAAAAAAATGTAACATCACAACTAGTTAGAGTTGTGAAGTGTGTGGAGTTATCTAGAGTGTGTATTAATGTGGGTAGTTATGGATTAAGAAAAGAAGAAAAATGAAGAACCACAAATGGGTAGATATTTGTGGGGTTAAGTAGGTGTAAAGTGGTAGTTAGGTGTGGCAAAGTATAAGCCACAATTTAGTGTTGGAACTTGGCTATAAATAGCCATGGTTTGTGTATGATTTCTTCATCCCAAGCAAAGCAAAGCAAATAAGAAAGAAAGTAGAGAGTGTTTGAGAAATTGTGAGTTGTGGGAAGGTGAAGAAATAAGAGAGTCAGTGAGCATTTCGATCCATTTTTTCCAACAGGGACTAATAACAAAAAACTAATTCCGTCCATCTTCATCCAAAAAACCGTTGCTTTTGTCCAGTCAACATGCTACATCAATTAAGATATCAATAAAAAAATTAATGGGAAACCCAGTTGAACTAATAACCCAACCGAAACCCCTAATTCTATACCCAACCATCCATATTCTTGGGGACAAAAATACTCCTTTCATTTTCCTCTGCCCAGAGTGATTCAGCTCTTCCACGTCACCCCACACACGACGCCATTGTTCTTGACAACTATGTTTTCTCTATCCAAGTATCCATATGACCATATCCATTATCAGTACAATAATATCAAAATCAACCATCACCAGCAGTCAGCAAAGTAATCCGAGCTTCAAACACACAAAGGAAACAGGTCCCCAAGGCACCATCCTCTTCTTTACCGCAACCGTACGCCTTAGACGTTTTCTCCTGCCAGCTCCTCTCCTCAATTCCTGCCAACGATCGCCGCCTCACCGACGGTATTTTCGTCAATTTCAATGCCCAATTTGCCCACGTCGACGATGACGAACTCAATCCTTCTGTCGTCTTCAGTCTCCGAGCGAACCAGCTGCCCTTGAATTTATCATATTGCAGCCGGCAGCGGAATCCCCAAACCAAAACCACCTCAACTAATGCCCGGCCCTGTCCTGCTCAGGAAATTTTATCACCGCGCGTCCTACGGATCTCGTTATTGGGGCGGCGAGTTTGGGGAGCTGCAGACCGACGTCGTTGTGTTCCACGGGTAAGATACCGAGAAGCGTGTCATCGTCTGCGAGCACGGCGGGTGGACCTTGTCAGTGGCGGACCCAGAATTGTTGAAGATGAGTGTCGCCTAATGAAGGTGTATCAGCTATAATTATTAAAGTGGTGTCGGAAATCTCGTATTAAAATTTTTTGTATAAAAAAAATATAGGTTGTTCACAAAATTTTCGGGCGAAGGGGTGTCGTCTCGCTAACATGTAGGTCGGCCCCTGGCTCTCGTAGTCTGGCGATTGGACAATTTTCTTCCACTGCCAGGCAGAGGACGGCTGGTGGAGCGTCTTCAGGGTCGAATTCTTCCCAGAGAATTTCCTCGCTCAGTTGATCCCGATCCGCGTCGCTCCCATAATTTTGAACTTTTCCCCACACTACGGTCGCTTCTTGTCTGGGCTCTCTCTATCCAACTAGCTGACTCGCTCTGGGCAGAGAAAAGGTAAAAGTATTTCTGTCAACAAAAATTCGGGTGGGTGGGTATAGAGATAGGGTTTTCGGTTGGGTTATCCGTTCAATTGGGTTTGATTATTGATTTTTTTATTAATATCGTAAATGATGTGGCGTGCTGACTAGACGAAAGTAACGATTTTTGAATGAAAATGGACGGAATTATCTTTTTGTTATTAGTACAAACATATATTACTGAAACTTTCAAACTCTTTTTTGCATAGACCAGGAAACCGGATCGTACCGGCCGATTCAACCGGTTCAACCGGAAATTGGACCAAAAGTGATACGATGGGCTTATTGTGCAGATTTATCGTGTCGGCCGGTTTTTTCGATTTGACCGGTTGAACCGGCCGGTACGATCCGGTTTCTTGGTCTATGATCCAGCTTCATTTCTCCGTATTCTCGTCCAATATGTGGAAAATAATTAAAAAAGAATATTATTTTGCTATTTTTCTATGTTGAAAATGGGTCACCGTGGTTGTATAATGCTCTATTTGGTTCTTTTTTTTATGGATTATATTTTTTATACTATCGCATTTCATTTCTCTATCAATAGTGAAAAACGGTATTTACCAGTACAAAACGGTTGAACCACGGTCGTACCACAAAATACTATACCAGAAAAGAATCCGGTATGATGTCCGGTACGGTTTCCTTTACCATGCTTTTTTGTTGTTGTTCGAAATTTATCTGTTGGTGGGTACTAAGTGATAGGTTACAATCATCGATAAAATAATGATAACTGAAGTACAGAAGGCATGTACAATGGAGAATTGGAGATAGATAGCACCCACAGAGCAGAGAAAAAAGAAAGAAAGAAAGAAAGAAAGAAAGAAAGCAGCTTATCCTTCAGCAACAGGACAACTTGCTTACAGCAAATGGATAGCTTTGCACCGGTTCCTTTCTCTGTTATATGTTTGATAAGTTATTGATCATTTGAAATGAAGTTGGACAATACTGTAAAATTGCTATTTGGTTCAACATTTAGTATAAACTGCTAATTTTACTATTAGTGCATATTTTTTTGCTTCCAGCGGCTAAGTTAGATGTTAGGAAAGTCTCCCGTGGTCGTCTTACATCTAGAGCCATTACGAAACTCATGTAGGATCGCACTTTGTAATAAAATTAATCTTATTCAATTAGGTCATATCAAGCTAAATTGCATAATTTTTCCTATCTTATTTTAAAAAATCGATCTCGTACGAAATCTAAACGGATACTTGACACAGACGAGGACCAACTGTAAAGTGGTTGATGTTTATAGACTATAGTGAAGGAAGGAGGTGACTGACTCTCCTCGTTGGGGTAGCCTTTTTTATGGACAAAAAGGACAACTAATGTTTACACAAAAAATAAATGACAATCCCACAAAAAATAAAATAAAAAGTTAAAAACAAAGAAAGTAAACTTATTGATGATTTAAGAACACCTTTATGAAAACCTTTAATTCTCTTATATTATTACTAAATTTAACGGGTAAATAAAAGTATATTGGGCTTCAGCGTTTTCACTACAACCACAAAGAAAGGAAATACAAAGAAGTGATAATTAATGTTAATTCTTTCTTTTCACAAGGCAAACAGCCGATCAAGCCATTACATCTTTATCATAAAGATCTAACTACCGATAATTAACTGTAAAAAAAAATCCAAATGAATAATATAACAACTTATCATCATCAAAATTTAAAAATAATTGACTATAAAAAAAAGAGATTACAAAAAAAAAGCTACATAATTACGAAATAACATACTGTGAGCAGTGACCAGCTGTGAGTTGTCCCGTGGCATAATCATATTTAACCGCACATATAGTTTTCACGACCATGTGCTTTTTCGTAATTATCTTCACATCCCCGGGGATCCGCGTAACGCAGCTCATCATCAACGACCCGGATTTAACGTCCTCCGTGAGCCGCGACACACCGGATAACTTCTCCCCCGAAATCTCCACCGCCACGCTCATATGGACCGTCCCCCTCGCCTTCGCCCTCCCCGGCGGTGTCGCCGCCTCCCCCACCACCGTCTCCCGGTAGTAAATCGTCGCCCCACCGCCGCCGAACCTGAACGCCGCCGCATTCGGGTTCCTCACCTTGACGTCGGCGAGAACCGTGGCGGTCCCGTTGCGGAGGCGGTTGAGGGTCTGAGGCCCGGCACTGGTGACCCCGGCGACGGCGACGTGTGGGACCTTGATTCGGAAGGCGGTGAAGAGGAGGATGAGGAAGAGCATGGCGGCCATGAGGATGATGGCGGCGGAGCAGCCGCAGAACCTGAGGAAGTTGCGGTGGGGGAGGAACTGCGAGGCTTCTTCATCGGGATCTGGGCCGGGAAATTGCCAGGGAGGATGAGGAGGAGCTGAGGGCTTGACTTGGGCGGCGATTTCCAAGGCCGTGGACTCTGGGGTTTCTGGGTTAATCGACATGGTTTATGGGTCGAGAGATTCAGGCGGAAAGGGGAGGATTTGGGTCAGAAATCATAATCTGGAAATGGTGAAGAAAGAAGGGGATTGGGATTGGGTTTTTTCAGTTTCTTGTCGTGTGAGGACTGAGTAGAAGAGAGTAGAGGCGGAGAGGTAGTAAATTGGGGGAATGAATCAGGATTAGGGATTTGGGGGAAGTTCGGGGAAAGATACTCGTATTCTTCTTCTACTACTTTGTAGTTCGTTCGTACTAATCGTGTACTGTTGATTGGGTCAAGAAATGAAGCGACGCAACCAGCCATGTCTGGTGACTCAAAGGTAAGAATCAAAGGATTAAAAATCGTATCGTCGGTTCGATTAGAAAAATGAAAATTTCATTATTAAAAGTAAAATTTATTGACGGTATAAAATGGTTGAACCACGAAAAAATCACAATTTTAACCTAAAATATGATAATATTGACTTTTCTAGTTCAACCTCCAACATTGTTTTGTCATTCCTTGTTAAAATTTGGTTATCCATTACGCGATTGCACAGAAAATTACATTGGCTACTTTAAAAGTATGATAATTGATAATACATTTTTGTGCATAAATACACACCGTTAATTTTTATGTGGTCGTTTGGATGGATCAATTGAAAAACAAGATAATTTGACCAATTGTCTCATTTTACAAACCGAATCATTTAAAACGAGTCAATTCGAGTTGTCTGCCCCATCTCGGGCAATTGTAATTACCTCTAAAGACAATTTGAAATTCTCCATACAATATTGCTTTATCTAAATTTTGTGTTGCCATACGGACAGCGGCGGATCCAAGACATAGTAGAGGACTGGGCCACATTTGAATAGAAGATTAGATACCGTAAACAAAAAATAAATGATGACTATAGTTTTTATTACAATGTCAATTGTACATGACCGTCTTTTAATTTACATACCGTTTGGTATAAATGAATTCCATAAATTTTGAGGAATTCATTTTGAAATGAAACATTTTTGTGTTTGGTATTTAAAAGAATTCATTTTCAATTCTAAATTTTGAATTCTATGGAATTGGAATTAGTTATAGCAATTCCGAGGAATTGAGATGGAATTTCCAAATGAATTCCACAAGTATTTACTAATTATAATAGAATGACATAAGTATCCTCTTTATCAACTAAATTAATTATATATATGACATACCAAACACAAAAATTCATTTGACAATGAATTCTACATGACAATGAATTTTATTTCTAAAGATAAATATGACATATTGTTTGTACCATCTAGCTTCGGTATGAACAATGATATTTGTTGGTGTGGGTTGACTCGTCATCCGTTCGTCCAATCTCGTCGGGAGGGAGAGAACCTGTGAAAGAGTCGGGGTTGCCCCCCTGATTAAGCTCCAACGATCAAGTCAGTGTCTGTTTGTGGAGAGAGTTGAGAGAATAGATAGAGAGATAAAGTGTAGAGAGATAGTAGAAAGTGGAAAGTGAAGAGAGATTGTCTGGTGGTGACAATCTAATTTTTGATGAGCTCCTTGTCTGATGGGCTTGGCGCGTTTGAACAGCATAGCAAGCATGGGGACGCGAGCATTGGGTCTGATCCGCGAGTTGAGAGCGCGCGCTCGCGGGCTAGTTGTGCGGGCGCGATGCAAAGCGGGCTTTTCATCTAGAGTGGCCGAAAGCGGTGGAGCGGACTTTGAACGCGGGCTTGAATTGCGGGGCGGGAGACTGATCGCATCGTCGGGCCCTGGTGGTGACAATATAATTTTTGATGAGCTCCTTGTCTGATGGGCTTGGCGCGTTTGAACAGCATAGTAGGCCTGGGGACGCGAGCATTGGGCCTGATCCGCGAGTTGAGAGCGCGCGCTCGCGGGCTAGTTGTGCGGGCGCAATGCAAGGCGGGCTTTTCATCTAGAGCGGCCGAAAGCGGTGGAGCGGACTTTGAACGCGGGCTTCACTTGCGCGGCGGGAGACTGATCGCATCGTCGGGCCCTGGTGGTGACAATATAATTTTTGATGAGCTCCTTGTCTGATGGGCTTGGCGCGTTTGAACAGCATAGCAGGCCTGGGGACGCGAGCATTGGGCCTGATCCGCGAGTTGAGAGCGCGCGCTCGCGGGCTAGTTGTGCGGGCGCGATGCAAGGCGGGCTTTTCATCTAGAGCGGCCGAAAGAGGTGGAGCGGACTTTGAACGCGGGCTTGACTTGCAGGGCGGGAGACTGATCGCATCGTCGGGCCAGGCGCGAGTGCGGGACGCGACTTGGTCTTGGCGATCCGCGAGTTAAGCGGATCGAAATCGAGGACTTGGGCCGCGAGAGGTAAGGTGGGCCGCTAGCGGAGGTTTGGGCCGGCTTTACACGCGCGGAAGGCCTGAGCGGGCTCTGTGTGAGGTTGCACGCGGAGTGTTGTTAAAATGAGAGTACTGCGCCAAAGGTTCACAAGGCTCGTATGTAGCCTGCTGGTAATGTCGCTTGTTTGGCGGAAAAATGGCGTGGGTTCGAGGACTGGCAGCGACGACATTTTTTGACGCGGGAGTGGAGCAAGGATGGTCCGCGAGTTGGGCTGACGCGAAGTGGAGCAAGGCTGGCCCGCGAGTTGGTGGGTGTGATATGAGTTGTGGCAGGTTGGAGGGGTGGGCCGAGTGCTGGAGTCGGGCCCGCGTGACTCGCGTTGACATTCCCGGTGGTGCGCGGTTGGAGCATGGAGGCTGGAGGAAGGTGGCTTCTTGGGAACTTCGCGAGTCACGCGGGTTCGAGGGGGAGCGGTTACGGTGATAATTATACAATAGTTAGCACCGTCCTAACCAAGGGGAAAACTACTACTAGTTTGAATTAGTAGTGATTTAGCTTAGATGTTCTATTGATTTTATAATAATCCGTAGTGATTTCGTTATTTTTAGTAGCATTTTTTGCTAGTTATCACGGTGCTAACCCCTATAAGGGTTAGCACCTAATTCCATCCCGGTTCGAGGACTGGCGGCGACGCCATTTTTTGACGCGGGAGTGGAGCAAGGATGGGCCGCGAGTTGGGCTGACGCGAAGTGGAGGAAGGCTGGCCCGCGAGTTGGTGGGTGTGATGTGAGTTGTGGCGGGTTGGAGGGGTGGGTCGAGTGCTGGAGTCGGAGCATGGAGGCTGGAGCATGGAGCATGGAGGCTGGAGGAAGGTGGCTTCTTGGGAACTTCGCGAGTCACGCGGGTCCGAGGACTGGCGGCGACGACATTTTTTGACGCGGGAGTGGAGCAAGGATGGGCCGCGAGTTGGGCTGACGCGAAGTGGAGGAAGGCTGGCCCGCGAGTTGGTGGGTGTGATGTGAGTTGTGGCGGGTTGGAGGGGTGGGCCGAGTGCTGGAGTTGGGCCCGCGTGACTCGCGTTGACATTCTCGGAGGTGAGCGGTTGGAGCATGGAGGCTGGAGGAAGGTGGCTTCTTGGGAACTTCGCCTGTCTCTTCCCTCTGACGGGAGAGAAGGTGACTTTTCTTCTTCTTCTTCTTCTTCTTCTTTATTTTTTTTATTTTTTTTACTGTTGAGGTGACTGAATAGAAAGTACTGATGTTGACTGGAGAGTGGCTCTTCTTTCTTTTTCGTCAGGGACTGATGTTGACTGGAGAGTGGCTCTTCTTTCCTTTTTGTCAGGGCGGCTATCTCCGGCGGTCGGAATCTGGGGAAATTTCACTCCCCCCCCCCCCCCCCCCCCTTTTTTTCTTTTTCTATTGAGCTTTTCTCTCCTCTTTTTTTTCGGATGAACTTTGTAGGGGATAGAGTCACATATGGATGTGGGAGCTAGGAAATGAGATTTGATTTGTGGGAGCTTTTATTTCAATCTCTCCCAGTCCCAGTTGGAGTAGTGGGAGATCCTTCTCTCGAAGAAGAAGAAACAAAAACGTACATCCATGGAGGACGACCTCTCCCGGCTGGGAGCTGCTGGCTCGGAGGCGGGTGCGGTGGCTCCTCTTTAGTCCTCTCTCTCCCGTTCGCTGTTGCTTCTTCTTCTCTGCTTTGGCTTTCCTCGTTCTTTTTTTTTATGAAGCTTTTGTATTCATTTCAGATCAAGAGTTCTTCCTCCTTCCGCGAACGAACGAACGAATCCAAATCAGCCCCAAGGTGGGCAACAATTGTTTGTACCATCTAGCTTCGGTATGAACAATGATATTTGTTGGTGTGGGTTGACTCGTCATCCGTTCGTCCGATCTCGTCGGGAGGGAGAGAACCTGTGAAAGAGCCGGGGTTGCCCCCCTGATTAAACTCCAACGATCAAGTCAGTGTCTGTTTGTGGAGAGAGTTGAGAGAATAGATAGAGAGATAAAGTGTAGAGAGATAGTAGAAAGTGGAAAGTGAGGAGAGAGAGAGAGATAGAGAGTCCCCTCCTTTTGAGGGCTTCAATCCCTTATATACTTGTAGCGCGTATCGCGCATCGCCGATTGTGCGCCCTACTACTTAGTCTGTGAACGGAGTATTTGGTAACACCCCCAACACATACCTAACACAAGATTTCATTTGACAATGAATTGTACTTGGTATTTTATTTTACAATGAAATGAATTCTCGATTCATTTAGTACCAAATTGTATGTTAGCGAATTCATCAAATCATGGAGTCTTCATCCATACTAATAACATACTCTATCTATAAAAAAAAAAGTTAAGCGTTAGCGAGAAATTCATCGCTCATTTTATTGCGTAAATAAGTTTTCACATGTTTCATTGCAGAAAATGTTATCTCCGTAGTAGTCGTTGAAACGAGCTAGATCAATATCAAAAGAATCAACCGACAAATCAATTTGCATTGTGTATCCATCTTTATTTCCACTAGCTTCTCTAGTAATTTGGGTAGGGAAGAAACTTAATATTCATGACTATGAACCATATGAGCGACATACTATCGTAGATCATTCTTCAAATAATGCATCTAATAGCCTTCAAAATCTTAAAGATAAAACTCTTGAGCAAGTTTGTAAATATTTTCTTCATCAAAAGACCGGAAAGAGCTTTTAGAATCTAGTGCATCACTCTACTCAAACAATTTAAATGATAACTCAACACGTTTATAAATATTCTTTTTGGACCGACTTTTAAATATTACTAGGCCAAACACCTAAATCGAAAAATTCATACGTACTATACAAGCTTTGGATCGGAGGAGGGCTGGGTTGTGGCCTGGGGTGGCCTAGCCCTAGATCCGCCACTGCATACGGATCAATTTGCCAAATTTATTTTAAAACGAAGCAATTGGGCCAAATTGATACGTTAGGATA